TTAAAACAATTTAGAAAATACATGTTGATAAAAAAAGATTGATTTTAAAAACATATTTCTAAATTGACTAGCTAGATTTTCTTTCTAACATAAAAGACACACAAACTTGAATGTTCTCTCTTACTTTAAGAGTGGTGGTTCCTTATTACATGACTATAAATCTCCATATACTTATTATATAGTCCAAAATGTCCATATATATATATATATCCCATTTATTGGGCATCATCGGTTGATAATGTCAAACTAAATAACTTGTACACAAGATTAAATAACATCTTCAAATCTAAGAACTTTATGTGAATTGTGGATAGAATAGTCTTTTCCTCTGATAGTGATTAATTTAAGATTATTCTATATAAGTCAAGTTTAATATTTATCTTTTACAAATACTCATGGCTTAATTTAACAAATCATCTATGAACTTTTATATTCTTTTCAGTTTCATTTATTATCTTGAAATTCTTCCAATCTTGTCTATTATCTTTCACATTTATTTCAATTTCATCTAATCCGTTATCTTTAACAGTAATCTTTTTATTCTATAAAAAAATTTAGTCCTCTAACTATATTTCTTTTGATCTTTTAGTCAATAAATTCATATTCACTGTAAAAATAGTTTTTATTCTTATCTTGCTAAATGTATTCTTCAGAAAATTGTTTTACAGGGCGGACTGTATGCAATCTATCCTATAAAATTATTTAAATACCTTTAATTTTATTTTTATATTATTTTTCATGGATATTTAAATAATTTTACAAGACAGACTGCATACAGTTTGCCTTATAGTTCATTCTGTAAAACAAATTTACTCTTAAAACTTCTCGTTCTAAATTTATTAAGTTTCTCTGTTTGAATTGAGTTATTTATTCAAGTTTATTACAAATTTTAATTAATCTATCTCTATAAAATATTTCTTGAATCATCATATTTTATTAGGATTATAGTGTATTTTTTCAAAACTTAAAGGGCTACTCTTTTCTGTTAAATCTAATAGAAATTTTGTACAGTAGACTATTTTGAAATATTCTCCAAAGTTTATAGACCATTTAGAAAAAAAATAAAATTTCTAGACTAAAATGAAATTAAACTGATAGTTAATAAACTAATAATTGAATTAAGCCAATACTCACTATACTATTAAGGGTCTTCACTCTAGTAATTGAAATTTTACTATCCAATCACATATGGTAGTTCAGTGTGTGACATCCAAGTTAAACATAATATCCAAAGTATACTCATGGTTGTGAATAATTTTAAGATCACAAAATCTTCTCTCCTCGTTGATTATCTCCATAATTAATATGATTTCATCTAATGCATGATCTAAGGACAATTTAATAATACGAATATCATATCACCCAAAATTTGCATTTGCAAGGCATATATTTCTCTCAGGTGTACGTGATTGATATTTAAAATTAGGTACAACCACCAATCAACATGCCGAAGAAGCTTTAGAGGTATATTACTTCGATGTTGTGAAAATTCACTGACAAAATTTACGTTTGGAAACACTCAAAAGTTAACTAACACTATTTTTTTAATTTAGTCATGCACAGACGTGGGGTAAGTACCCTAAATCATCTACAAGTGAAATGATGTCGATAAATGTTCGTTAGTGAGAAACAGTTCTCTACTAGCGATTGTCAAGGGTTCTTTCCAATAGCCTGTGCATAGGGCTTTTATTGTGAGCATGTTGAAGCATTAGCTATCTTTCAAGGTTTACAATCAGCTATTAGTCTTGGATGCTAACTGGTTGTGGTAGAAAGTGATTCTCTCATTACTGTCAAAGCACCAAAACAACACTTGCCTGTTCTTTCTCATTTTGGTCTTTCAATTGCTGCTAGACAACGGACGATGGTAGGGCTTGGCAAAGTTTCTTCTTCCACATTCACAAGGATCGTAACAAGGTAGCCTATGTGTTGGCGCACGCTACAGTCCATCTTCAAGGACCATGCTACCCTGAGGAATATCATTTTGACTCGTCAGTTTAGTCTTTGGTAGCTGCTAGTCTACAGTGATCAGAAACTAATATTTCTCTTGTTATGATGTATTAGTGTTCTTATATTAATGAAAAGCATCTTCACGTTTAACATAAAAAGAAATTATATATAGACAGATTAGGATTTATCAACTAGATTTGTAAAAAAATTAGATGAATGAATGCTCAAAATTACATTATTTAAATAAAATACTGTAAAAAAAAAAACCAAAACAGTTTCATTCAAATTAGGATGTTTTATAAATATATATTATTAATAAATATGAGGTTGTGGAAAATCAGGACTTCTTGGTAGTCCTGAAAGTATCAGGGCCATCCATCATGTGGTTCCCACGCTGGAGTTCACATGGGAGCCACATGATGGATGGCTCTAATGCTGCTAGGACTACCAAGAAGTCCTGAAAATCACTTTTCTGAATAAATATTTTCCTTATATCATTTAAAATTGGAATCCCATATCATAGTGGAATGAGGAAAGCATGGGTCCCATTGACATATTAAATTTCTTATTTAAACTAATAAAATCATTTTAAATTTAAAAGTTGCCTCATCATAATATCTTTATAATTAAAAACGCCATGTGACCTACTTAAGTGTCCACCTAATATTAAAAATTAAAAGAAAGTGAATTAAATAAAGGAAAGGCAAAATACCCAAATCCACTCCCAAAGTATAGTGGCAAGGATGGATCCACCCCCAAACAAAAAATAGGATAAATCCACCCACAAAGTTTTCGACTTTGACAAACAACCTATTATTTGACGAGCCACGTCAGCTGGCATCATCTTCCTGTTAACAGCGTACTTACTCAGACATTTTAAACACGGTGGAGGTTTTTTTGCCTGTGTGGATGCTA